AAATGTCTTTTTTTGCGCTTTATGAAACAAAGTAGCCTATATTTTGTGGATGTACAGCTACATTTCTCATGTAAGTTTGCGTAGTTTTTCATATTGCACCAGTACAGTTAATGAGCAACCTGTACTTGTGTGCTTGTTTGTTCTGTCTAAAATGTTTATTTTGGAATAAAAAGGTTAATATAAAAAATATTTTTTGTCCGATTCATCGATTAGTCGAAAAAATAATCGGCCGATTCATCGATTTTTAAAATAATCTTTAGTTGCAGCCCTACTTGCAATTGCAGGAGCCCTCGGCCCGCACCCACGGGCTCAGAAGTCTCGTGCATCGCGAGAGTCGGTCTTGCTTTACGGCGAGAACTGCTACACGCCCCCAGTGAAAGGCATGCTCGTTGCTAGCGCAGTGGCGATATTTGTGCAGTTATCATGGCGGAACCAGCGAGAAAATAGCGAAAGCCCATCCCATCCGACAGTCGGATAAATGTATGGGAAACTCCAACTTGGCTAACTACAATCTTTGTTATTTAGACACATGCATAACAAATAATATATGAAAATATGCAAAATTTTCAAACTCGAAAATTGTAACAAAATAGTCACTTACCGCAGTAGACATGGTGATTTGTTGCGTTCGCCTGTCTGCTAAGCTCAAAACAACCGCGCCTGGCTTGACGGAGAAACCAGGAGAACAGCTGAGCATATTTACGACAGTGCACTTTTACTTTCGCCCTCTTGGGGGAGCCTCGCTGGAAAATCAACACCGGTTGCATAGTATACCTTTAAGACAGATTTTGCCAACAGGAAAATGTATGGGAGTCAAAATGGGAGAATAACTGATTCTTGGTTTCTGTTTGAATAACATACAAATTATAAACGGTAATTAAAGTTAAGAGAATTGCTTCTGTTTAGTCATATTCTGTCTTTTCGTTTGGTTCTGACGTAATAGTTGCATTTCTAAATGTCAGGATTAGAAAGTGAAAGGATTTGTTTGCCGGTAAGCAGTCTGCTCTGCAGCTGACAGCGCCTGCTTGTAGCACTCAGAGCAGCGACAGAGAGAAGTCCCTCCCTGCTGGTGCTGATTTAGAGCGACGTGAGCTGCTAAAGTCGAGCCCCAGGGGCCTTTCGCCACGTTAAATGACACACACACGGCCCGCAACTGTCCTCCCAAGATCCTCGTCACAGGAACACTATGGACTGTGACACTGACCAGCGCACGCTGACAGGCGGGCTGGGACACAGCCACCCCCCTTCCACTAAACATGCAAACACACACAAACACGCAGGCCTGACAGTTCTGCCTCTGCGGTCTGTCAGAGCTGGTGCCAGGCCGCCTGCGTTTTGTATTTGAAGCTGCGCCTCGCACAAGAGAGGCTCGGCCAGTCAATAGACGGGCAGCTTGGACTCAGCGTGTGTTTTAGATGGGTGTCCTATTAGAGGAGCCTCCACTCTGAACTCCGTCTGCCTAATTAGAAAGGATCGGGCGAGAGAGAAAGCCCGCTCAGAGTGTGGCAGCTGAGGAGGTGGGCTCCACGGACTGCCAGTTTTGGCCGCTAAGAGACGATAGCCTCTTTTTTTCCCCCCTCTCTGTCTGCTGTGAGACAGGTTAGACTTTCTGCTGCTGGAGTCTGAGAGGAAGAGCACCTTAATAGGATGGAAAAGCCTGTTTGCAGAAGTGATCTTTGTTGCTTTCCCCTGTGCTTATCACACTTTGTCGGGATTTCAAGCACTCTCACTGAAAATGCTGCACTGCTTATAGAAACACGATGGCCTTGGGTCACGCTGACTCACAAACATGATTTTCTGTCATGAGCAGATTAGCTATCTTTAAATGACAGTAGGGTCAGCGGCGCTGTGCTTGAGCATGACAAGCTATGTTCGACACATCAAAAGCTCAGCGTCGCTTTATTTTCCGGCTCCTTTTCTCATAGTAAGAGCAGGTTTAAAGGGATAGTTCTGCATATTTGAAGTGAAGTTCTGCAGAGAGGTTATTAGCGATTAGGGGCTTTTCATCAAAGCAGCTCAATTATGGCAGGAAAATAACTATTTGTACAATTACACAGGCTATATCTGGAAATAACAGTTATTTTTTACTTCTCTTATCGAGCTTGAAAACAATTCCACATTTGTAAATGAAACCTTATTAGAGTTTCATTATTTGTAATTAATATTTGGTATATCTAGCAGTAGCTAAAGTTAGCATACATACAAAATAATAATGTATGCTTGTAAAATTGTTTCAATGCAATAATAATATCTAAAATCAGTGAACTTTAAAAGCAAGACTTCCTGAATTCCTTTAGAAATTCACCTATTTTGTCACGTATTACAAATTAGCCTTTTGTGTTACATCATGAAATTATCAAGCTTTATGTTTGATATTCTTAAAAAATAATTACCTAAAAAACATTGTTATATGTAAAATACTATCTTGCATAAAGCTACAAAGTCTTCTTTTAACGTACGTCCTTATTTACCGAGGTAGCTAAGGTAGCTTTAGCATACCTAAGTAGCGGTATGCTAAAGTAGCCAGCTAACGCTAGCTCACAAATATCGTGTTTCCTTATGACTGGTTATTCGTTAAATTTTTTCTTGCTGTTATTTTTTCACAACGTCATTATAAATATCTCAAAAACTCATTTTGTTATGGAAACTTTGTTCATTCACATCAAGATAAAAAAACAGGTTAGACATTTTGAAGTTGGTTGGTTTCATTATTCACTTAACCAGAAACGGTTCAACCACCAAGTCTTAAGATCTAGTCTAGATTTAGTATAAATGAAGACTGGATGACCCTGGAAAATAAAGCTAATGCATAGTCTGACACGGCTGCGATAAACAAGAATTATTAAAACATTAACGTCCAGTTTTAATATTTCACTCATTTATATGCAAATGAAATCTTATTAAACTGAGATTAAACTGCGATTCCAAAAATCTTCCTGAATGAAACAGGTACTGAGGTCTTTGAGGCAGAAAGGTATGTTGGTAAAAAAAAAAAAAACATAAATAAAATAAACTACTGTCAGGGCTCGATGTTAACCATCGCCCGATTGCCCGGAGCAAGTAGTTTTTATTGTTGGGAGAGCACAAATTTGATTGCATTTGCCTGCCGGGCAAGTTCAATGATCGCAAAAAAAACCCCAGAAGCATTGCCTGCGCCATTTTTGTTGTTTTGTACACATTCTCGTGTGATTTGAAAAAGCCGGGTAATTTTCCACCAGATGGCGTGATTTTTGTCCACCTAGCGGTAATTTTGATGTAGTTACCAAAAAGAAAAACAAGCTAGAAAGCGCTATCCTCGTGAGACCATCATGATCTCGCGAGCTTTCAAGGTTTCACTCGCAGATCAGTCTGGCTACTTTCCGTTAAAGAAAATTTGGATCCGTTCACCAAACGAACGTCCAATCAGCGTTGGCTTTGAGGCGGGTTGAGGTGTGACGCAACGAGAAGCGTGACAGTTCAGTCTAAAGAACATGGCGGCTTCAGCTGATGAAACTAGCGTTAGTGTGGCTATCGAGCAAGTTTTATTGGTATTACAGAGTATTTCTTCACTAAAGGAAGAGCAAAACACTGCTCTGGAGGCTTTTCTCAGAGGAAAAGATGTTTTTGCTCTTCTCCCGACTGGTTTCGGCAAGAGTTTGATCTATCAATTGGCTCCTCTTCGTCGTTGCTCTGTTCGTACGTCATATGCTTCGTTGATCTGATTGGTTTATTTGGCCCGTCTATCACCAACATAGGCCAATCAGCTAACCAGTATTTTCGCCCCTTCCCAAAATTACTTCAACGGAAGGTTTCCAGATGGATATGAGGAGCAAATCCATCTGGCGGAGTCAGGTTAAGAAAGAGGCAGTCTTCTGTACAGTGATGCAGGTCATACATTAAAAAAATGTTCATTGAGAGGTGCATTTAAATGTTATTCAGCTAAGCATGTTAAATTGGTGACCTGTTATTTCAGGGAAAACTAATTCTGAGTCAGTTTAAAGTCAGGGAATTCTGAAATGATGTCAGACTGTGGAAACCCTCTATAAAATAACTATGTATAATGATTCTCTAGAAAAGTCACATTATATTAATAGTATTATCTTCTATAAACATATTAGACTCTAAAATAAAAGTTATTCATTTGTGACATTGACTTCTGTCTTGTGATTTATCTTAAGTTTTTAACCTGTGACGTATTTTTTGTAGATTTTTAACATTACAATTTATATTTTTCCAAGCACAAAGCAGTTTAAAGCAAAGTTTAGTTTGAAAAGAATGTGCAGGAAGGATTGAAAAGCATGTTAACACGGTAATGTAGGCTTGAGTTCATTATCTGACGAATGCATATACACACCAGGAACCTGGAAACTTAAGAAATACTGAATTACAAAAAACATTTAAAAAACAAACATGTTTAATTGATATATATATAGAAAAATGAATATGAGGAACTATATTTATCAAACATTATACTGGGCAAGTAAAAATTGTTTCTGGGCAAATGAAATGTGAAAGTCAATGCTTTTTACTCTGAGGATGTGTTTTGCACACCCTCTGCCTCCAACCTTCCATTTTCGGTTTAAATATTCAATTAAATGTTTTTAAATGTTGCCTTTTAGGAGTGCTTAAAGTAGTAGAGCGCTGTGATGTTTTTCAGACAGGCGTTGTTGAGGTCTGAAAGGGTCTTGCAGCCTCCACCTGCTCCACCTATTTCCAATGTATTCTAAAAACGCTGATGCCCTTTGATTAGAACCTCACTTTACATTTTCCGTCCCTTTAAGGTGCATTGATCTATTTGTGTTTCTATGCAGAACATAATGCTCTACCATATGGTTTATTTTCTGCTCTGAAGCTACCTATTGTTTCCTTTTTATAAAGCTATTCAAACATTTCTTTAACAGGCAGGATCGAGTCAGCGCTGCACAGGGAGGATGACTAAACCCTCTCTTGTGTATTTTAACACCGTCTGCCCACCTTCCTCAGTGCCTACATGTGTGTTTATGTCTGTGTGTTTTGTGCAGCCATCCCCTCGGCCCCTCGCAACGTCATATCCAGCGTGAACGAGACCTCTCTGTCCTTGGAGTGGGAGGAACCTGAGGACACGGGCGGGCGGGGGGACCTGGTCTACAACGTGGTGTGCAAGAAGTGTCTACGCGACCGGAGCCCGTGCACGCGCTGCGATGACAACGTGGACATCGCTCCGCGCCGCCTGGGGATGAGGCAGAGGAAGGTGGTGGTGAGGAACCTGCAGGCTCACACCCGCTACAGCTTCGAGGTCCAGGCTGTCAACGGGGTGTCTGGGAAAAACCCGTCCTCTCCTAACTACTCCACCGTCAACATCACCACCAACCAGGCCGGTTAGTAGATCCATCACAGACTTAGGAAGTGTCTGCAAGTTAATTCATGGGGGGGCTCCAATCAATACCACTTAACGTCACGATGGTACAGCCCGCTTAAAGGATCCTAGTTTCAGTCAGTGTCAATGAGCTCCTTAATGAGACTTTGGTATCAACCGAGGTTCTAACACGAAGAGTAAACAGTGTAGAAGAAGCTCATTGAGAGCGACAGCTGGACAAATGCTCGGCTGCAGCTCTGCCTTCAGGAAGAGGCAGATAAATTCTGCTTTATATCCCCACCGTCAGCACTCAGTAGACTGAGCAGCTCCTTATCATGCATCTTGACAAATGTCACCTTCCAACATCGCCACTTAAATATATGCAACATCATCATCAACCCAACTGTTCAGAGCCCTCTCCCAGACTGCAGTTACTCTCCCCGTTAACCTGCTCTCAATCACCTCACTGCAGAACATGAACCCAGCTCGGCGACTAGAAGCCGAGTCCGTCCTCACAAATCAATAAAAAGCACGACGGTGAAGGTGAATCATCTGCTTCTTATGCTAAATATGTTCAGGTGGGAGTCGCTGGAAGTTGGAATACCTTAATGTTTTTCCTTTTGCTTTACTTCCAAGTGCTTTTTGGTCATGAGTTCAACGCTGAAGGTAAACTTCACCTTATTTAGATGTGACTCAAAGTGGAACCTACGCACAATGCCTTATTTAGACCCGCATCTGTCTATTGATGTTCACAGAGAAATGTTTGAATGTCTGTCTTCTCTGTAATTTATCAGTACTTTCATTTAGGGACTGGCTGGAGGTAATGCATAAATCTGAGAAGGGGATTAATTTTTTTTTGCGGATCAGAATCTGAAAGGTGTGCTGTGTTTGAACTTCGTAAAACCGTCACATGCTGTCAGAGGAGACTTTTCTCTTGCCTATTTTCCTGAGGAAAAGCTTCTGCATCAGTAGTTTGGATAGATGGGATCAGTTGTATTTATGTGCTGGACCCGGTCAGTAAGCTTTAACCTGAACCAGTGTTTCCCCAAAATTTTCTTTTCTCGTTGGGCCTTTTTTATGTTACATAAAGGCTTCTCCCATTCCCTTCAATTATCCCCAAAACATTTCCACAGCTGGACAAAGAAAATAAACTGTAGTGAATCAAATATTGCGATAAAAACAAACTCTAATCTCAGGTCATAGGCATTCCAAATAAAGTTAAAAACAATCCACTTAACTTTGTTTTCAAGTTTGAAGACGTTTCTCTTCCCATCCAGGAAACTTTTTCAATTCAAAATGTCAGAAATAGCGTTGAATTCGAGGCTTTATACAGCAGCTCAACAAAGCCTTGTATGGCTACAATGCAGCAATTGAGTTGATTTCTTTCCGCTATCATCGCAACCCCTGTTAGGGGTGTTAAGTTTCCCCAACCTTAAAGGCATACTATGCAACATTTTTCAGTTAATTAATGTGTTCCATATCGTTTTGGATGATTAAATGAGTCATTTCAGGTCGAACAAAGGTTTTCTCGGCCGCCCTGGTGGTCTGTAGGGGAAATACCATAAGGCTCAGAAGTCTCGTGCATCGGGAGAGTCGGTCTTGCTTTACGGCGAGAACTGCTACACGCCCCCAGTGAAAGGCATGCTCGTTGCTAGCGCAATGGCGATATTTGTGCAGTTATCATGGCGGAACCAGCGAGAATTTTCAAACTCGAAAATTGTATCAAAATAGCCACTTACCGCAGTAGACATGGTGATACATTGCATTCGCCTGTCTGCTAAGCTCAAAACAACCACGCCTGGCTTGACGGAGAAACCAGGAGAACAGCTGTGCACATTTACGACAGTGCACTTTTACTTTTGCCCTCTGGGGGGAGCCTCGCTGGAAAATAAACACCGGTTGCATAGTATACCTTTAACCTACAAAAAATTATAACAAAGACAGTGCAAGATTTTTCCTGAAATGCTTTGCAAAGGGGAGAACAGTATCAATCTCTGCATCTCCGTTTGGCTCAACACTTGCCAGGCTTTTTATTGAGCAGTCAACACATTACGACAGCAGGCGTTAGCTTCGATTACGCAATCTCTTAGACATAGCATGAACTTTTAAGATAGGGAACTTGCCTGGTTTCAGTATAGGCTTTACACAAGGTGTCGGGGTTATGACTTTTCACTTCTCTGCTTCTTAAATAAACAAAAGGAAAGTATTCTTGCAAAACATTTGACTGTCTTATGACCTTCATACACTATTTCCAATGATGAGAGTAACATATAGAAAAACAAATGATTGAGAGCAATATAAAACATATAAATGAATAAAACAGAAGTCATAATAACTCCAACAACCCCCCACCCCCTTACAGGGGAACAGCCTGTTCAGCAGGCTAAAAATTCCCTTTAACGACCCCCTTTCAGTGGCTAAGAAAGAAGCCAAACGACCTGGATTCCACAAGCCAGGCACAAGCCAATTGATAGATCAAACTCTTGCCGAAACCAGTCGGGAGAAGAGCAAAAACATCTTTTCCTCTGAGACAAGCCTCCAGAGCAGTGTTTTGCTCTTCTTTCAGGGAAGAAATACTCTGTAATTCCGATAAAACTTGCTCGATAGCCACGCTAACGCTAGTTTCATGGGCTGAAGCCGCCATGTTCTTTAGACTGAACTGTCGCGCTTCCTCGTTGCGTCACACCTCAACCCGCCTCAAAGCCAACGCTGATTGGACGTTCGTTTGGTGAACGGCTCCAAATTTTCTTCAACGGAGAGTCTCCAGACTGATTAGCGAGTGAAATCTTGAAAGCTCGCGAGATCAGGATGGTCTCACGAGGCTAAAGATTCTTCTCATGACATGAAATTTATCTCTAACGATAGACGATACGGTGATTGTCCTCTCAGGTTTATTCACAGGAGCACAGAATTATGTTTTAAATCTGAACTCCAATGTGCTGAAACGGTCAGATAATTGGAAGTAAATATCGTTCCTGGTTGTTATCGTTCATGTCTGTTCCTTTCTCAGGTGATTTCACTCTCAGCTTCCATTGCACCAACTTCCTGCTCACTAATTAAGAGTCCTGGATGCTTCCCTCATTATCTTCCTCTGTGTGTGTTTATCTTCGTGGATTTTCAGCTGTCTTGTTTCCCATCTTTCCTCTGCTGTCGGTAGTCTTCCTGGATTTCCGAATCTAGGCTCTTTTTTTCTCGACACTCCAAGGATTTCTGCACCAAGTCAAATTAAAATGTCGTCAGATTTTAATCATATAGAAACAGGCTTTGTTTTTTTACAGCACTGATCCTAAATGTGTTCATACGTTTGCTTCCTGCAGAAAAGGACAGTATGGTAATTTTGTTGTATGGGTTTAATAAAAGGAAAAAAAGGTCTGAGCTCCCTCCTCTCTGCTTTGCGGCGTTATAATGAGCGGGTATGCAGTACCCCGACCATTTCGCTCCTTCCTCGTTCAATGGCACAGCTTGAACAGGATTAATTATTTTGTTTGAAGAAATCCTCCTTTACCGTCGCTGATCCAAATCAGGCATGAGCTGATCAGAACCCCCCCAGTTTTTAGGGAACTTTTATCTGCCGACTTATTTTTCTTTCAAAGAAATATCGTAATGGAAAAAGTTAATAGACTTCTTTGTTTTTCATCAAATATCTTTTAATTTTAATGTTTGTAATGCAAAGAATAATTAGAAAAAATACCAAGTTTATTACATACTTATTTGAATAAAAACAGGGTCATTTTAGTTGAATAAGGTGTTAATAGATTGTATAATCACTGCTTTTGGTTCAGTGATGTTTTTATGTCTTGTAATTTTTTCTTCCAATAAATATTTTCCCTCAATTTGAGCAGATAAACAGTAATATTTTCCAATAGAATAAGATGATTTACATTTAAAAGTAATAATAAAAAAGATATCTATTTTCTTATTTAAAGTGTATAATATATAATTATCTTCTTCTAAGATCAAAAAATGATCACTTGCTCAAATTAAGGGGAAATACACAAAGATTTTGAATTTGGCAGGGAAGAGAGCTGATAAAAAACAGACAGAGCCATTAAGAGCTCTTTAAAGGTTTTGCAGTAAAAGTTAAATGGAAATTTGAAAATGGAAAGAAAATGCAGTCCAAAATTAAAAAAAAATTAAATAAGTTTTGAGAATCTTTTTTGTCAAATTTTATTTCAGCAAACTATTTTATGGCAAATATTTTTCACATTCGATTTTTTTCAAATTAGATTTTTTTTAACCCTTTAAAGCCTGAACCAGGAAATAATTGACAGAAGATTCAAATTTTCCAAAATTAGAATTGTCATTGAACTTTGTGACAAATGAAATAACTATATAAATTTTGTAAAAACATGAAATTACATCATTTATTTACACATTTCTATATCATCTTTTTAATGTTTTCTGTTTACTACATGTGTCTGATTATGTAAGTCAAGGTTTCAAAAACAAAAACATCACACTGATGATGCAGAGGTTTCAAAATCTCCTGTATCAAATATGTTACACTTTACTTTAAAGGGTTAAAACATATTTTCAAAGATTTTTTAAAAAGAATTTATAGTTTAATGTTTGTGAATATTCTTTTCAAATTGCATTTTACATATCAGATTCTCTTTACTTCATGCTCAATGCATACTCTCCCTCTTGACTAATTAAAAATGTTGTTGCTAACTTCCAGCGGACCAATAGAAACTGACCCCAGAAGAAAAGAGAATATGATCTGTAGAACGCAATTTGAAGAGAATGCAATCCTTAAAGCTCTATCCCAAAAAAAGAGAAATTCAAAAAAATTAACATTTGAGAAATAAAAATTGTAAAACATGAAATATATACATATATATAAAAAAAGAGATAAAATGATTAGAAAAAAGAAAATCTATGAAAAAGAAAAAAAAACTTACTACAAGACCTATTTCTGGACTGTATTTATTTCTTCTTTTTAAAATTTCCATTTACTAAGCGTGTTATTTGGTAGCAACAATAATGGAACAAAGTTCCCCCCATAAGAGGTCATCAGGTTCTGATCCACAGCCATTTTCTCAGCGGGTTTGTAAGGAATACTTAGACATGCTAACACGCTGTCCTTTTTGGGTTTCTCCCTGCAGCTCCTTCAGCTGTGCCAACAGTCCATCTGATGCGCTCCACTGCAGACACCCTCAGCCTGTCATGGCTGCCCCCTGAGAAACCCAACGGCGTCATCCTCGACTATGAGATTAAATACCAGGAGAGAGTAAGCCTTATTTCACCAGCATGCACGCCGACTTTACATTATGTGGTGCATATGGGGGTGTGTGATGTGATGAGGGTCTGTAGTTGAACTCGGCCGCCTGTAACTTGTTCATCCTGCATCATTAGCATCAATCAATTCCCTGAGAACGCCCAGCAGACGTAGTGCTGCCAATTTGTAGCCTCTGATGGTTAAACCTCAGGCTTTCTGACACCACTGCTGCACTAAAACAAGTTAAGGGTCAGCTGCAGCTATTTTAGCAGCTCCAGTTTCAGGATTTTCGCAGTTCTTAAAGGCACAGTCATATTTCCAACGCTGCAACAAAAGAACATAACTAATAATATAACATCAATTTGACATCATCTCTTCATCTTTTAAACCTTCATTCCAGGAGCTGTGATGTAGTGAAACGACTCTTATCATGTTCACATAGTCATTTGCATTAGATTAGCTTGAGCGGAGGATTTTACGTGCCAGCGTGGCAGGTCGAGGCAGAACAGCATTTTGAAATTAATTATGCTTCACATTTTATAAGAGAAAATGAATATGAGGATGAATAATTCACTTATAATGTCTAGGGTCTGTGCATGTTCTCGTAATTGGATTTTCTCCTCTGAAGCTGTTAAAGACAAACAGGAAAACAGTGGCCGTTTTTGCTTTAAGATGCTAAAAAAAGTGTAGAATTAAAGCAGAAAGCACTTTGCTTCTTATGTCATAAAAAGGATAAGCGGGAATTTTATTTAGTTATTTTTATGGTTTATTTAGAATAAATCCTTGCATGAATGCTCACCTTGCACAAATTAGTACGGAAGAGGATTAGGGCCACTGAAAAAAAAAAAAGTTAACAGATTTTTAGATTTTATTTCAGTTGAACATGGGGGAAAAAAGTCAGAATTCTGACATTAATCTCAGAATTCTGACTTTAATCTCAGAATTTTGGATCTTAATGTACATGGGCACCATGAAGGAAGAGATGTGGGAGCACTCAGCTTCACTGACAAAGATGTGAGTTGTTTGAGGTGGCCAGTGACACATTGGTGGAAAATGACGGAATTAGGCAACTTTTTACGTGCCCGAGGGGTCCCCTCATTAATGGAAGAGCAGAAAGTCATTAAAACAAGAGAGCTAGTCTCTAAAACAGACATGGCTATGGCTTGATGCTAACATGTTTGTTAGCTGTCAGAATTCTGAGAAAAAAGTCAGAATTCTGAGATTAAAATCAGAATTCTGAGATTAAAATCCAAATTCTGAAAGAAAGTCAGAATTCTGAGATTAAAGTCCGAATTCTGAGAAAAAAGTCAAAATTCTGAGATTAAAGTTAAAATTCTGAGATTAAAGTCAGAATTCTGAGAAAAAAGTCGGAATTTTGAGAAAAAAGTCAGAATTCTGAGATTAAAATCAGAATTCTGAGAAAAAAGTCAGAATTCAGAGATCAAAGTAAAAATTCTGAGATTAAAGTCAGAATTCTGAGATTAAAATCAGAATTTTGAGATTAAAGTCCAAATTCTGAAAGAAAGTCAGAATTCTGAGATTAAAGTCAGAATTCTGAGAAAAAAGTCAAAATTCTGAGATTAAAGTTAAAATTCTGAGATTAAAGTCAGAATTCTGAGAAAAAAGTCAGAATTCTGAGAAAAAAGTCAGAATTCAGAGATCAAAGTAAAAATTCTGAGATTAAAGTCAGAATTCTGGGAAAAAAAAGTCAGAATTCTGAGATTAAAATCAGAATTCTGGGAAAAAAAGTCAGAATTCTGAGAAAAAAGTCAGAATTCAGAGATCAAAGTAAAAATTCTGAGATTAAAGTCAGAATTCTGAGAAAAAAGTCAGAATTCTGAGATTAAAGTAAAAATTCTGAGAACAAAGTCAGAATTCTGAGAAAAAAAGTCAGAATTCTGAGATTAAAGTCAGAATTCTGAGAAAAAAGTCAGAATTCTGAGAAAAAAGTCAGAATTCTGAGAAAAAAGTCAGAATTCTGAGATTAAAATCAGAATTCTGAGAAAAAAGTCAGAATTCTGAGATTAAAGTAAAAATTCTGAGATTAAAGTCAGAATTCTGAGAAAAAAATCAGAATTCTGAGAAAAAAATCAGAATTCTGAGATCAAAGTCAGAATTCTGACTTTTTTTCCCTTGTTAAACTGAAAGAAAATTTAAAAATCAGTTAACTTTTTATTTTTTTTCAGTGGCCCTAATCCTCTTCTGTAAAGTAGACACATACAGTATAAAACCAATATATGTTTAAAGATGGAGACGGATATGTTTGTCCAAACTGATCAAACATCTAACTTGTGTTTGTTTTAAAATATAATCCATTTCTTTCTTTATTTGGTCAAACATTTAATGAGGAAAAGGACAGTGAATGTAGCAAACATACTGCCAGATCAAACCTGTCAGAGTAATGACTGATATGTTAAAAATGAACAATGACACTGAAAAGTGATTGCTGTCCATTTTTATTACCTGATATATACAGAAATCAGTGCTAGAAAAGCTGTTAGATATCTTTCAGATTGCATTTTTTATTTAATATACGCACATAAACCACACTCCACTCCATTATAAACATTTTGGTTGTGCAGATTCAGCATCATGAGACCCAATACGTGGCTAATAATGTTAGCATCTTCAGGCCGATGGCTGTTCCCTTTCAGACTAATATTCTTACACCGCATCCAACAGCCATCCCTGTCAACTTATAAATTAATAAACACAATGCTAATAAACGCAATGCTAAGAAACACAATAACAGTAAGTGCAACCTGATTGTAAATGTCTGTGTTAGTTAACTAATTGAAGCCTCACTTTCCTTAATATAAACAGTCAAGCTAACGTTAGCTTAGCTCATGCTAAGTTCCCAATTTAACATTATCAGTTTAAAGCATATTTCTACCGTCAGAACACATTTATGACTGTGTTGAGCTAAGTTATTAAACTGATAAATGTAGCAAATTTTTTTATTTTTTGAGAAAAAAAGCTATTAGCCTAAAGGTGCTTTGCTAGCGTTATTAGCCACAACTACGAAGAAAAGAGAATTGTCTCCTAAGAGGTGCAATTTCCTGGAAAGTAGCCAATGACACTAATTTCTTCACAGTAATTTCCACCTTCAAAGTCACAAAAGTTGACACGAAAACACAGAAACTGATAAACACAGGAGTGCGAGAGAGCCTACAAGGGTATGGAGTGAAGTTTGTTCCATTATTGTTGCAGCAAAGAACCAGTATTTCAAATTGTGCTTTACAAATCACATTATCTTAAATTCAAGCCCAATAAAGATGTTGTTTCTGATGTCCATGCAGACCAACAGAAATGTGTCTTAACCCCTCACTCCAGAGGGAAGCCCGCCCCCAGAAGTAAAGGAAATGTAACTTTAAAAAGAATGCAAAAAAATGTATAAAGAAATGTACAAAATCAAATGTGAAAACCGCTAACGCAGCTTATTTTTTTTTATATTTTTTTTTTTAGTATGAAGTTTTGAAAGTTTTATATCTGGATAACTTTTTTTTTTATTACAATTAACAAAATATGTGCAACAATAATGGAAAGAAATTCATTCCATACCACTGCATAGAAAGCAAGCCACTATAAGAGAGGAGGCATGCATTCATGTATGTGACCTATTTGGATCTTGTGATATTAAATCCAATATAACTACTGTGTAGTCTGTATGTATATATTTTTTAATATTATTGATAAGGACAGTAAATTTCTGCTTTGCAAATGCAATAACACATCAGTAACTTTGTAGTCATCCCTTAGCTCTCTACTACGCAGATATTTTTATATCTAAGTGAAACATATTCCAGGACATAACAACTTTTTCTTTTTTATGCTTTTTTTGTACTATATATATATATATATATATATATATATATATATATATATATATTTATATATATATATATATATATATATATATATATATATATATATATATATATATATATATATATATATATATATATATATATATATATAGTATTTTTTATCTTTAATGGTATCTTGCTATAACTCTTTTTACTTTATATAAGCTAATGGAGCTAATGGAGGATTAATCCTAAGGGATAAATAAAGTTGAGTCTATGTCTAACTCTAATCTGAACCAATCAGAAAACATTCAAAATATGTCAGGAGAGCAGTTAAAGTGTCTTTGAAATAAAAATGCTCGAATGATGATTTGAGTGCAAAATTTAGTCAGAACCACAACGTCATGAAGAGCTCCTCTACTTCCTGTCCTACACTAAAAGAAAGGTTTCTGAGCTGATATTTAAAATGCTGTTCGATCTTGGTTCCCTCCCCTGGATATTTTCTTTTTTTAAAGTATGATGAAATCAACTTGCTAAACCGTGAATCCAATATCTACCAATGGCAGCCATGTTGAATTGTTTGCAACTGGAGTTTTCCTAAGAAGAATGACCCACATCTGTTTTAATGTTGTTGTTCTCTGTCAGGAACAGGGGATGATGCACACCATCACATCCCAGCACAGCTCAGCCAAGCTGGAGGGGCTGAGGCCGGCCACCGCCTACGTGGTGCAGGTCAGAGCTCGGACGGTCGCTGGATACGGACGCTACAGCAACCCCATGGACTTCAGCACCAACCTGCACAGTACGAATTTTTCTGTCCCTTAAAGGAATAGTACACCCAAAACATGATTAGCCTTCATTTTCTACTCACCCCCATGCTGAACAACACTCTGGAGTACTTTTTTGATATCTCAAATGCATCTGGAGATCTGGGAGGCTTCTTGCTGTCTGCTGACATTCAAATAATGGAGGTCTATGGCGCCCGAGGCAGAAAGGTCCATAAAAGTCCACAAAAAACGTGTCAATATTCCTCCATACTGCTCGTCCAATGTATTCCAAGTGTCCTGAGTGGGTAGCGTCCAGAATTTACTGGAAACGAAGTCATTTAGAATGTTTTTAGAGCATAAACAGTAGTGTATAGGATTTCCTAAAAACGCGTTCACGAGTCTGCGGAAACCGCGGCAGACCAAACCAGATGAAAGTGCGCATTCAGCTCGGCAAAGAACTCATGCTCTTCCTCAACACTGAAGTCCTCAGACATTTTTCTTTCGTTGTTTCTTTCTTTGCACAGGTAAACAGCACATTTCTTCTTCTACGCTTGCATTATCGGCAGAGCAGACGCTGAATGCGCACTTTCATCTGGTTTGGTCTGCCGCGGTTTCCGTAGACTCGTGAACGCGCTTTTAGGAAATCCTATAAACTGCTGTTTATGCTCTAAAAACATTCTAAATGACTTTGTTTCGAGTAAATTATGGACGCTACACACTCAGGGCACTTGGAATACATTGGACGAGCAGTATGGAGGAATATTGACACGTTTTTTGTGGACTTTTATGGACCTTTCTGTCTCGGGCACCATAGACCTCCATTATTTGAATGTCAGCAGACAGCAAGAAGCCTCCCAGATCTCTAGATGCATTTGAGATATCAAAAAAGTACTCCAGAGTGTTGTTCAGCATGGGGGTGAGTAGAAAATGAAGGCTAATCATGTTTTGGGTGTACTATTCCTTTAACATCGGCTTATTTCTTGGCTTAATTGGTGTCTGAAACACAGAGAAGCTGAATCAGCCCTTTAATCCCTCTCATGTGTGTATTATGTGTGTGTGTTTGGTGCGATTCAGGCGACCCCCAGAAGTCAGTCCAGGACCAGCTGCCTCTCATCATCGGCTCGGCCTCCGCCGGCCTGGTGGTGGTTGTTGCCTTGGTGGTTATCGCTGTTGTCTGCCTTAAGTAAGCATTTGATTTCTATCCCTGACAACATGAACTACATGTTTCGCCGTGTTAATTAGACTTTGAACAAAGAGGCTCATTAAAGTTTAAGATGAATTCAAAGGGTGCACACTGCCATGCAACTCTTGCTCCTCAAGCTCTGGGGAAAAGCTCTGCGAGTTAAAACCCAGAGCTGCTCTTCCTCTGCCCGCGTCTCCGTCTGATATCGGGAGCCATTTATCAGCTTGATTCTCTGTACTTGGGAAGGGCCAGGGCTGATTATGTGAATGTGACTTTACTCATGTGCTTCTTGTTTACAGGAAGCAGCGCAGCGGGTCGGAGCTGGAGTACACCGAGAAACTACAGCAGTACAGTGAGTTTTCTGTGTTCTGCTGGAGAACCCGCTCCTCTCTGCTCCTATAGTCATGCCAGTACAGTTAACCAACCGATTAGGTCAATTATCCAATCACCTGTTTGGTTTAAGGAAACATGTTCCTATCAGCTGAGGGGGAAGTCGGACCTCACAGATGAGCTGCTATGAAACGCATAAAGTAGATGCATGTGCTGCTGGAGGGTTATCGATTATCGGGAAAGGAGAAATAGGCAGAAGAGTGAAATGATGGTTTTTATTGATCTGCATTATTTTTTTCCCTACAAGCCGAGGTGATTTTTAGCATGCACACAGCTTCTACATCTTCATCGTTGCTGTTCTATCTTTTCCTTTTATTGTTTTTCTCTTCTTCTCTACAGCGCAAAATAGAAAAAAATAATCTGTTTTGGTTGTTTCTACAATTAAACCCTATCAAATGTTGAATCTTAATTCATGTATTCAGCAAAAATGGCTCAATAAAAATATGAAAGACAATTATTTCAAAGAAACTGTACAAACATTCATAGAATAAATAGTTCTAGCAGTTATCCTTTGTTTTGCATTGCAGCGGCTACTTTGACAAGTTAGCTCTCCTCATTTTGGCCTCTCTATTAAGGTGACAAGATGTCTGAAATCCAATCTGGGGACAATTTCAGCTCACAGATAAAAATAAATACATATTATCAAAATGAAAATGGGAAACAGGGACAGTTACATGTTTAGTTATATTTAAACAACAAAAATCAAGTGTAAAAACAGGAATGTGCCTCTCCTATTTCCTAATATTAATAAAATGAATCAATCGATAGTGTTTATTAGTTCATAAAACGTTGAAATGAGGGACATTTGTTGGGACAGTCCCCGTTTTGGACCAGCTGTCTGTTAGTCAATCCCAGGCGTGTTTATTTTAAAAAAAAGCACCTTTTAAACCCAAGACAATCTAAATTCCTCTCCAGGACACGTTTAGGGGAAGGTCAAAGGTCTGAATGAATGAATCAGTTTCGTGCCGTTTCATTGTATACTCAATAGAACTTGACAAAAAGATTATTTCTCTGTGGTTTATTACATGTGGCTGTGAAAGAACTTTCAATAAATAGATATTGAAAAATGCAAAGACATAAAAAGCGACATGTGGAAGTCCATAAACAGGGTTCCCGCGGGTCCTTAAAAAGTCTTAAAAGGCATTGAATTCTTCAAAATAAAACTAAGGCCTTAATTGGTATTAAAATGTCTTAAATCAGTCTTTCGTAGGTCTTAATTTTTAAATAGCATTATTTTTATTATGATTTATTTTTGTAATCTAAATAAAACGTTAAAATTGACAATTTTTTTTATCATAAAAAAAAATAATAACTGCTCACCATTATTGGTTCCGTCCCGATAGCGGAACCAATAAAAGCGTTGTTGCGGCCGGGACATTTGGGAGATGCACCATTAACTTTATGTCTGGAAAATATGAGCAAGTTTAAATGTAACGAAAATTTTCTCCAGCCAAGAGTTTTCTCCATGGCTAAAACCAGGGAACATACATGAGGCTCAGTGGATTTAGTGCAAGAAGCGATTCAAGCTAGGAACGATGGGAATTAAGGCAGTGGAGTCGCACATGCGAAACGCGAAACACAAAGCGTCAAAATGGAGTTACCAAGAAACAGCCGGTATTTCTCAGTTTAGTTCCACCCTTGTCTCTGCAACGCCTCCACTTATCACCAAATCAAACATACTAAGAAAACCATACAAAGAAAAATAGCTGCAAAAAGACTTAGCACTGGTTATGTTGTGGCTTTAAAACTGATTTTTGTTCCCTGCTAAAACAAAGTTTGTGAATTCAGTTAAATAATTGTTAAAACATATCTGTCATCTGTGTGTTTTTAGCTTTCTTCCTGTTTGGGAAGCTTTTCAAAATTTGAAACATTAGTGCAGCGGTTTATGTTAAAATAAACCTTTGGGTTAAGTTGTCACAAGTGGGTTTTTCTTGTGTTTCTTGTGAATTTGGTCTTAAATTTTTATTTCAAGTGGCATCAAAAAGTCTTGAATTTAACTTGCCTTATGCTGTAGGAACCCTGAAAACTAAGATCAACTAGGAATTTCTGGAAAAAATTGTCAATCTCAGGTGTTTTACTTTCTCCTTATCATATCTAACACCAGAGATGGCAAAAGTACTCACTTTCCGTACTTGAGTAAAAGTACAGATACTTGTGTTAAAAAATACTCTGGTAAAAGTGTAAGTACTGATTAAACTTCTTTACTCAAGTAAAAGTAACAAAGTACAGGCTTGTAAATTTACTTAAAGTATAAAAGTAAAAGTAGAAACCACTTTTTTCATGCCGTTGCCTACATTTTAAATGGATGTCTGCCAATAGGACTAGATCTCCGTTGTGTTGATTTTCAATCATCTCGTCGTCCATGCTACTATGCTAACGCCACCGCCACCAAGCTGCAATGATTTGCCGCGAATGAATACCGCCGAATCTGTCGATTCATCTTGTAGTGGTGCGTCAAATGCAACGTAGATTCCCATCTAATTAGATTGAATTTGGTATTGATGACATGAAAAATAATAACGGTAACTCCATTGAAATGATTCAAAAATAAAGTAACAACCAATTTTTTTAAATGTAAGGAGTAGAAAGTACAGATATTTGTGTAAAAATGTAAGGAGTAGAAGTAAAAAGTCGCCATAAAAATAAGTAGTAAAGTAAAAATATCAGAAAGATCTACTTGAGTACAGTTCGTTACTTCCCATCTCTGTCTAACACCCATCTCTGTCAACAGGTTAAAATCAGCAAATGAGTCTTGTTGGAAATAAAAACTAGATGTCTATTTTTCCCCATATAGGAATAAAAATAAAATAATTTTTGGTGATAAAATGTAGGTGATAAAATAATCAACATAGCCAGCAATCTACTTTTTTTATGGTTCAGATTAGTGTTTCCAGTCATCAGAGGTCCTGATCTTTCATTTTCCCCTCCTAGTTTCTCCAGGGGTTAAAGTCTACATCGACCCCTTCACCTACGAGGACCCCAACGACGCGGTTCATGAGTTCGCCAAAGAGATAGACATCTCCTGTGTGAAAATCGAAGAAGTCATCGGTGCAGGTAAACACAGCAGCTGTTTTACTTCAGGACGACAAAGAAGGCTTTGGTTGTTGCTTTTTTTCCGACGTTCCGCCCAGCCTCAGGGTGCGCCCTGTGAGGCAGACCTCTCTTAGAGGGAAAAAAAAAGGGCAGCACTCAAAGCGCCCTTGAAAGCTGGGAAGTACTGACATGACTGTTGCTCTTCCCCTCTAGACTCTCTTTTCTTTCCTTTTTTTTTCACTCTAGCAGCATGTTTGTCCTTACTTTACCTCAGATGAGTCTGGTCCTGCTTGTTCAACTTTCATCCATCCCTGTTTTGTTTTGTTTTGTTTTCTCTCTCTCTCTCTTACTTCCCTGTAAACATACTTGAACTTAGGCACTAGGTGCAAAACCCTGAAGTATTTCGCCCATCCTCTTTCTCCCTGCAACACTCCCAGGTTGCACACTCGGCCGATACCAGCCACTCCCTCTCTCCCCAACATCTTTGACCCCTGACCCCCCACCCCCCTCCCCCTCCTCCTCTGTTCTCTAAACATGTCCTACAGTTGAAGCCGACCCTCAGCTCTTTAAAGTCAGCTCCCTCACACCCAAATCCGACCAGTAACTCTCCCTCTCCCTGCATTTCCCCATCACCCTCTGCTCACTCAACCCCTCCCCACATCACCCTCCCGTCCCCCGTCCCCCCCCCCCCACCCTTCCCGTTGCTTTGTTCTCTCACTGCAGGTGAATTTGGCGAAGTGTGCCGCGGTCGCCTGAAGCAAGCCGGCCGCAGGGAGATGGTGGTGGCGATCAAGACGCTGAAGGCGGGCTACACCGAGCGCCAGAGGCGAGACTTTCTGGCAGAGGCCTCCATCATGGGTCAGTTCGACCACCCCAACGTAATTCGGCTGGAGGGCGTCCTGACACGGAGCTGCCCCGTCCTCATCATCACTGAATTCATGGAGAACGGAGCCCTGGATTCCTTCCTGAGGGTGAGCACGCCGAGAGATGCAAATTGCGGCACCACTGACGGGGAGTATTAGGTTCTGCTGGTATCAAAGCTGAGAGGAACACACACAGACGTTCAGCCGCCGTACCTTTGGGTTATTGGAATGTTTCACTGTGTTTAAAACAGCCTGAGGCGCTCGCTTGCTGAGTGATAGACATTAAACGTGTAATAGAAAGCTTGAAGACAGGCATTGTGTCTTTGCTTGACGCGGCTGAGTGATGCTGACAGCCTGTTTTTTTTATTTTTTGTGGCACAAACTCCTGCTGGATAACTCATCACACGCAGACTTTTGGATAAGTTTGCTTTGGTGTATTAGAGAGTCCTTGTACAACCACTGAATACATTACCGACGAGAGTTCTCTGTTCACAGCAAACCGCCTACACGATATGTTGAACAAAGGCAGGATGAGAAATTAGATGTCACAAGGTACGTTTCCAGCTGCGTGGGGGCTATTACATGTCATTTACATTCAATAAGGCTTGTTTTTCCTGCATGGCTGAACTGTGAACATGTCTGTTCGTTGTAACTGTGGGGCTAAATGAGGTTACTTCATGCTAGCTATGACTCAGTGCTGAGTTGCGTTCACAAGCTTAGACTAGGTCTGTTCAACAGACCTAGATCCTTGACATCCACTGTTTTGTCTTCATTAGCTAATATTTTTAATGACCAAAACAAGGTTGGGGAGTGGCGGCCTAGTGGTTAGGGCATTGCACTTGGAATTCAGAGGTACTGAGTTCAAGCCCCACTCCCACAGACTGCTACTCTGGGTCCCTGAGCTACGTCCCTTATGCTACGTTCAGACCTAAAGCAGCAGAAACAGCAAGTTTACATGCAAAGTCAATGGTTGACGTGCATCAAGGCGCACCAAAAGGTCCCGCATCGCGTTTTAAGCAGCAGGAGCAGTGCCTCTAGCCAAAGCGCGCATGGGTGACAACAACAATGGCTGCCGCTGGAGAGTTTAGGTGAGTAGATTCTGCTATTAGGTCTGTTCTAGAAGATATCGACAGCAAATTAATTTTAAAAGAGGAACAGAGAATTGCGATCAAGGCTCATCTTCTTATTCTAGGCGTGCAACTGCACGCTTTGATTTTTGTTGACAACTATGCCTCGCTTAACATACGTCACGCACTCCGTTGCTCTTATTGGTTGTAGGTCTATCCAATTGAGTGCAGAGGCATTTTTTTTCCTGGTTTGTTCGAAACACGCCCCATAATCACAGCTCTACGGAGCAGTATCAGACTCATATTCTGACTAGAATTGAGTAGGACTACGTCAGGCTACAGAGCCTCACGAGCTTCTGTGCATCTGAGGCGTGGGACGCGCTGCGAGAGCAGCAGCTGCTGGAGTTTGAAAAATTGAACTTTTGCTGCTCGACGCGACACATCAACCAATCAGAGAAGCTGATCTGTGAGCTGGTAGGGAGACAGGCACATTGCTGCTGATGCAGAGCGATATGATCACTCCTTTGAAACAGTTTATTGACGCCTAATACTCCATTTACACTACCCTTGAAAAACCGATCCATGCCGAGACCGGTCCGAGCTCAGATCAGTTAACCAGGCCGAGCTCGGTTCTGCGGTATTACTGCCAGTATTGAAGGAGGAAATCAAGCAGTTGGTGGCGGTAATGCACCAAAAGTTGTTTGACAACCACCATAAAACACAAGAAGAAGAAGACGAAGAAGGAGGGAATCCAGCAAATCAAAATTGCGGCGCCCGTCACATTCAGAAAGTTATGCTTGATTATTATTGCTGTACTTTGGTGTTATTATTTAAAAGGCCATTATTTAAAATGTTGCGTGGAGATTTCGATTGTTGTTTGTAGTTGAAGAAGAAGTTATTCTTCTTCTTCTGTTTCCGGAGGGGCATTACTAACCTGACTCAGCCAGATGGATTTGCTCCGCATATCCATCTGGAAACCTTCCGTTGAAGTAATTTTGGGAAGGGGCGAAAATACTGGTTAGCTGATTGGCCTATGTTGGTGATAGACGGGCCAAATAAACCAATCAGATCAACGAAGCATATGACGTACTAACAGAGCGACGAAGAAAACACAACCACAAGCCAGGCACAAGCCAATTGATAGATCAAACTCTTGCCAAAACCAGTCGGGAGAAGAGCAAAAACATCTTTTCCTCTGAGAAAAGCCTCCAGAGCAGTGTTTTGCTCTTCTTTCAGTGAAGAAATACTCTGTAATTCCGATAAAACTTCCTCGATAGCCACGCTAATGCTAATTTTATCGGCTGAAGCCGCCATGTTCTTTAGACTGAACTGTCGCGCTTCTCGTTGCGTCACGCCTCAACCCGCCTCAAAGCCAACGCTGATTGGACGTTCGTTTGGTGAACGGCTCCAAATTTTCTTTAACGGAGAGTCTCCAGACTAGGGTTGTCAAAAGTATCGATACTCAAAAAAGTATCGATACTGAAACGTTGTATCCGGATACAATACTCATTTTCAAAAGTATCGATACAGCCATCTAAAGTGCAGAATAGAGGAAAATGCACTTTCAGAACACTGTGTGATTGAATAATCTATGCATTTTTCAGTTTCAGACTTTTTTTGTAAGAAGTGCAGCTGCTGAGAATTATTTTTGTTTAACTGGTTGGGCTAGTGTTATTGTTATGTCTGCAAAACATAGCCAAGGAAGGAAAACTAAGTTTTTTATCAAGCTTGCTTAATATTGTGCAAAGCATACAACCTCAAAATATTATTCTTATTGTTTTTTTTATTTATTTCTTGTATGTTTTTTGTAATGAAAATATTTCTGTTGAATTTTAGAGTCTTTATTTTTATACTTGTGGTATCGAAAAGGGTATCGAGTATCGAATATTTTACTTAGTATGGGTATCGAGTTGAAAAGTTTAGTATCGTGACAACCCTACTCCAGACTGATCTGCGAGTGAAACCTTGAAAGCTCCTGAGATCGGGATTGTCTCACGAGGCTAGGGCGTTACTGCCAACTACTGGAATGGAGTGTGAATCGGGATGTGCAGCCAGACGGAGATGACGCGTTCTGCTCATGCGCTCTTGTTATCAGAGAGCTAAGCCAGGGAAAAACCGAGGTGAGCCCACCTCTGGAACTGGTATGCAGTTAGCTCGGTTCGGTTGTGTCTATCTCAGTTCAGTTCAGTTTGCTTTCCATTTACACGATAAGTTATCTCAGTTACTGAGCTCGGACCGGTCTCGGCACGGTTTTTCAAGGGTAGTATAAATGAGGTATAAATCAACTTAAAATGTAGTAACCTGCCAGCAGAACATCTTTGCTTTTATTATCCTGGTGCCTGCAGTTTGGATTACGAACGTGAAAAACACTAACGGGAAACTGCCAATAGGCGACCGGGCCAGAGGCTGCTGTTGGTCAGGATTCCTAGTGGCAGAGCAACGCCGCTGTACGGGGGTCTGAGCGGCTCCGACAGAGAAATAATATTTGAAGGCCGGATGGTAATCTTGATGAACTGACTGCACAGATGAAGTTTTCAGGTGGAGTTTCTCACTTAAAAACGTATTTTTTTTACCCACTGATCACAGCAAATATAGCTGCCATTATTACAGACGAAGAAAGGATAGGGTAGCTCCGCCCAACTCGCATATGACTCACTTTTCCATCGCGCAGCTAGAGCAGCTAAGATGCTTCAGTCGCGTGTCAGAACTAAACTTGTAAAAGCATAAAAAATGAAGCAGCACGTGCTTGCGGTCTGAACGTAGCATTAAACCCACACTGCTCCCCAGGCGCCGGACAATGGCAGCCTACTGCTCCCCAAGTGGATGGGTTAAATGCAGAGAGTTAATTTCGTTGCTTTTTACTTGTGACAGTTTAATTACTGTAAACAGCTGGGGGAAAAAAGCATGTTCTCAGGGTTCAAGGTAGGTATTTTAAAGGTGCTTAATCCCATTATTTGACATTTTTTAAATTCATAGTACCTTACTCTGGTTGCATACAAATATTACCATGAGATTCTGCTTGTTTATTTTTTTTAATGATTGTGTTCTTTACTCTTGTTTATTTAAATAAAGCATTCATGTATATTAAGATAAATTAAGCATTCATGTATATTTAGAATAACAAAGCAGGTATGGTGCTGTGCTTGTGCAGAGGGGTTAAACAATAAAGTAGCCTACTGTGGCTAAGCCAGTTAAAATCTTCCAGCAAAATGTGGAAATAATGAAGAAAGGTCCGACATCCAGTGTGAGAAAAAGCAATGCTCTTGATTCCAATAGTAATAAGACGGGAACAGTGCTGGGAATACAATGAAGTGGAAGCTAAAGCTGCAGAAGCGTTCAGATGTGGCTGCTAAATTCATGGATGAGTCATTTAACGTCCATATTAATACTGATTCTAGTGATAGCAATGCTATTATTAGTCTCTGCAGTCTAAGAAGAAAACAATATCACAAATGGATAGAAAGACTGATTAGTTCTCTCCTTGATTATGTATCCCTGTTTGCATTTGTTAGGAACATCATTTTTTTTTTTTCCTATGATGTTCCAATATGAGGCTCCAGAGAGGTGTGACTAGACCTTAGCATTGCTGTAGATGGGTTTATTTCATTAACATTGGTTGGTCTGCGACAGTGTTTCTTTACTGCGAAGTATTGCCGAATGATCTGGCTCTATTTAGCATGGGTTAGCATTAGGTAGTATTGGCTTTTAGAAAGTACTGCCAACAGATGGTGCCACATCTCCTTATATCAGCTCTTTGCACCTGGTGCTGGAATTCTATTTAGGCTCTAAAAGTACTATCTAAACTAGGGATGCATGATATAATCGGCCCCCTATCGGTATCGGCCTGTAACGGCCTTAAAAGTGAATATCGGACATCGGCCACCCCACCGATATTTAAGCCGATATTTGATCAGCTTCTGAGTTTCTAGAGTCTAAAAAAAAAAAAAAAAATACTACTTCTTCTACCTCAAAAACTTTTTTTTACAGACTTAAAAACTTCTAAAGACGAGGGAAAAAATATTGATACATTAAAATATCACA